GCCTATTGTAAAAAATTTTCATTACACATTGTTCCGCTGCAGTTCCAATTATCGATAATGTTAAATGAGGACTTCTGTACAATTTCTTTACAAACAGCCAAATCACTTATTGTCACATCCATGTAGATAGTGTTGGGGCCATTTAAAACATATTTATGTCTCTCCCCCACCTCCCACACACAGTTTAATATAAAATTGGAGAAGTCATTAGCTCTGCCCTAACTGGTAATGTAATATATATATATATATATATATATATATATATATATATATATATGATGTAGAAAATGACACAAAACATGGCAGCTTGCTATCCATAAGGTCCCTCTGTAGGAAGAAATCATTGTTAATTCAAATAAGCTGATATTAACTTTAATTCAATGAATTTTTCAACTGGTTCTTAAATATTCATATTGATCTGTTTTTAAGGTAGTTATTTGAATGTAGTTTGCATTCAAATAAAATAATGAAGATTTCCAAAGGAAAGGTAGAACATTAAAATTTTTTCTCTAGAATTATAAAATAAAATTCTTAATATCTAAATTATTGTAATGGTTACTAAAATTAGCCTACACCTCCCCAACAAGGTCTCTAAACCACAGTATTTTGTTCCAGTTTCAGATTTTAAAATTGAGAGTATTAAACATCACACCAAAACTACAGTATCTTTAAAAAATCAATTTCATCAAAATAACCATTAGACGAATCTTTGGCTTTTAAATATTTTAAACTTGAAGTCAGAATGAAAGATAGAAAGTTATCAGAACGAGATTGAAAGCATTTATAAAGCCACATCCTATATAATAAAAGCCTAATATGCAAATTGACCAAACACAGAACGATGGGTAGAATGACCTGTCACTATGATGCACACTGACCACCAGGGGACAGGTGCTCAACACAGAATCTTCCCCCAGCCTGCAATCCCCAGGCCAGCCAAGGCGGGTGCCAGCAGCCCCCAAACCCATCTCCCTGCCAGTTGCCCCAGGGATCAGCCCTGATCACTGGCCAGGCCTAGGGACCCTTCCCATGCACGAATTTCATGCACTAGGCTCCTCGTGTTCCTTATAATCAAGGAGATGTGGCTGAGATAGAATGGAGTGACTTGTGACTTCCATTTCTTCTACAAAGCAGGGTAGAAAGGTGGCCACGGTGCCAACAGCCTCCCCTCACCGCAGAAAGAACGGGATGATGTCTGTTATTGGGGGGATCATGTGAAAGCCAAAATAGCAACTTCAGCAAAAGCAGTTGTACTTATTATAGAACCTCTGTCTGCAAAGGTGCTTGTTAGGGACAACGAGAAGTCTCTCGTGTAATTAGATGATGTTTGAAACGCAGAAAACAAAAGAGAACTAAAAAAAGAATCCTTAGTAAACTCAATAGATGATGGCATATATAATTTTTTTTTTTTGCAGGTAGCTTTTTAATGTTTACAGAAACCTTTCTATTTTGAAAATTGAGGCTTGTTTACATTGATTGCTCAGATAATTCAGAATTTTTAACTAATGTCAAAACTACAGTGTCAACCATTGTAGTTAGTAGTTCCCTTCCGAGTAGATTCGGGGTTTTTAGATCACAGCTTGAAATTTCTGACCAATTTAAAAAGCAAGAGGATAAAAGCACAGTTTGACAAAGCAGATTTATAATTAATTTTCACTAGTTGAGCCTCTAATAACTGCTTGCTTTTGTGACTGTTTAAATGTTTCTTTGATTGACAATGTCAGCGTCTCCCTGGCCATTGAAATGATTTTGTTTGTTTATAGCAATACTTCTGTGAAACAATTATTTATTTGTGAAAGAGCTCTCAACTGTGCTCATCTTTTTTTTTTTTTTTTTGCTTAAAATATTAATAGAACACATTTAAATTTAAAGGAAATATGAAGGCACTTCCTTTTTTAATAAGTAGGAAATTGCCAGATGCTTCTTTCATCAGACTTAAAAGTACTGAAGAAGACTATTTGTAAATACAATATAAGGATTCCCACCTTTTAAAAGGGAAGGTACAACTTTGGTGCTCCAATGCAGGGCTGTCTGAAAACTCATAAACGAAGGGAAAATAAACAACCAGCCTGGATGGTCACTTGGGTAGAAGACGGTTGTACTCAGTGTTATTGCTAAAAATGTTTTTACCTCTTGGTAGTCTGCATCTTTCTTTTTTCGTATTAATTTTATACCAAAATGTTAAATATTTATATTATTTGAATTTTGCTTATATGTTAAAATAATTAGTGTTTTTTTAAATAAATAAACCTGTGATTTACAATAAACAACTTGAAAATTGTCAGCAGATGTGTATTTCCACAAGGGTTTTTAAACTCCTGTGTGAACACCTTTTGTTTGTATCTAGTCAGCTTGTTCTTTTTAATGTCAGAGGGGCCTATGGTACACAGTCTTACTCCAACTTGTTGCTGTACCTAGAATAGATGTGTTCTCTGTACACTGGAGCCCCTAAAATGCTCCTTTTGTTTGTTAAATGACCTGGGTTGGAATGTCTAAGTGAGGGAACTCTAGATTGTTTAGGCTGGGCTACAGTAACATGTAGCCATAGTGTCTTAAGACACCATTTGAAATGGTCCTATTTTCCTTTTATTTGATATCCTTACCCACCTCAAAATAGATTAAAATTTAGCCCTGATCTTTTAATGCCAGCAATATTCTCAGGTTCCTCTTGGAGTATTTGGTGCTTCAATATGTTTTTACATAGTATTCAATATGTTTTTACATAGTATTCTCATCTGCTTTTCACCCAATTCCTGCTCACTTCTTAGAATAGGCTGTGAATCATTCTGTATATATTTTTTAAAACTTGGAAGTATCTGAATTATTTGGTTGTAGTAAAACTTTTTACTTGCAAGGCATGGTTGGGGGTTTGTAGTTTGGACTCAAATGATGATCCCTTGGAAGAATTAAAGAACTTGACCTATATGTGGGACTTCTGTTGAATGCCATAGCTGCAATGAAAATCAGACCAGAGAACTCTTGATATGCAAGGCAATTCATTCTCCTGTAATAATCAGAAAGGATAGGTGCTCCCTGGCTGTTTCCCTGCAGTCACCACATGGTGCAGTGAAACAAGCCTCGGTCACAGCTTTCTCTCTGGTAATCCTCTGCTCCAGACCGCCAAGGCTCCTTACTGCCCCAGCATCAAGTCTAGTCTCTTCTACCTGCTCCCCACGGCCTTACGTAATGTTCCTTTCCTTCTTCATTCCCTGTAGCTTTATTTTTTCCATTGCCACTATTATCCATCACAAATCTCATTCCTGACACATGGGTAAGTTCATTTCCCTTGCCAAAAACATTGTCTCCTATAGCTACTGAAATCTTGGCAATGCAAACTTAACTGTTCTATAAAGCATCTCCTGCCCCCCTCAAATATACACTTATGAATGTATACTTATCACATATATTACTAATACCTACTAATTGTTTCATGTGTGTGTTTTTTTAACTAAAACTGAAGGTAGGGACTTCACAGTGCTTAAAAATCATTTTTCAAATATAATAAAGTAATGTCATCTTGGCAAACCATCCAGATATGAAAAGAAGATTCATTACTCAGAATCCTAATGGACATTATCTGACATAACATAACATTTTACCTATACTACTTAAAAGTTTATAATTTATTTGATAAAATCAGAATACTTGCCATATACCAAGCATATTGTATCTATCAACTTCAGCTTCAACAAATTTGTATTAATTATGCATTAATATGCAATGTGTAAAATCAAAAGTGAATCAGAAACTATAAACTTGCAGCAAAAATTAGTGATTTTAAGGTATTCAAAGCTGGTGGTAAAAACAATAGTCTTATAAATTCTATCTTATGCTTAATCCACTAGCTATTTTTGCCTTTTTTCAAAGTTCTTTTGCAAGAATCATAAAGATATTTTTGTTTCATTAAATGCTGTAACTTTTCCTTTGTAGTTCTCATTAGAAGTATGATTTAATAGTCTACTGTAAGTTAATACAATAATTCACTTAATTGGACCTATTTAATTAGTCAAATTAAATGAATTTACTTACTAATTTAATTAATAGTTTAATTAAAGGGCCTGTTTAACTAATACTTTTATATAGATAAGATTTGTAATTCTAAAAGTAAAATTATAAAGATAAAAGTAGGTAGGTTGTAGTGATAGTTAGAAAAGTCCCAAAAGATACACCATCACTTGAGAAAAATGAGAGAACACTTTGCCAAGTACTGCTTTTTAGAGACAATTCAACTAACCACACTTTCAGATATGCTGAGTTCAGCCATTTACTTAGACTCAAAGTTACGTTCCCATCAGTAAGAGCCTACCTGTTTCCTTAAAGTGAAAGAATATCAAGTACTGGCTTTAATCAAGAAGCAAGTTCCTAAAGATGTTTGTTCATTCATTCTACAAGTACTTTTTAGAAGCATGTTAAGAGCTAAACATGATAGACCATGGGAATAAGAACAACTCACAAGTCAGTAAGTCAAATGGTGTGAGCATAAACAATGTGATGAGTGCTAGAACAGAGGCAGGTAATGATGGGGATTCTAAATAGAGGATTTTAAAAAAATGAATTTCCCCTTCTGCTTTTGGTCTTTTCCACTGAACTGCTGAGCATTCACATGAATTGCAAACACCTTTCAGTCAGCCAAAAGTAGCATTAAGTTTATGTAAATTGTGTCTTTTGGGAACCTACTGCCTTTAAGTAGGCTTAAACCAATAATTCAATTAATAGCAACAATAGTTTGCATTTACTATTGTCTTGATAATTCATGTTTTTAAAACACTGAGTATCTTTGGAAATGTGGTTTATAAGATGTCATTTTCAGGTCTTGCTTGCTGCTTTTATGAGATCCATGAGTTTTTGTTCTCAGGTAGATAAGTGAAGTTTAGTATATAGAATAACTGTGATTTTATCTGGGAAAGATAAGTGATGAGATTTAAAACAGAGGATACTCTACCCTATCCCTCCACCCCAAGGGATTAAAAATGACTCTCTAAAGGAATCTGCAATCTTACCTGCGGGGGGAAAGATTTTCAGGACTGTCCAGCTGCTCCTGCTCAGGATTCTCCCCATCACAACTGCATTCAAGTATTTCTTCATTCTGACGTGAAAGAGAGTTTGGTAAGATACTCTATGTTATTTGTGAAGGAGCACTTAATCTGTATCTTTCTTTTCCCCAAATTCTTGGTTTGGTATTGATTTTGCTTTTACTTCTCTAGATGAACATCATATCCAGTTCTTCATCCTTTCCTTTCTGTGGATCTGTTATTGTTGGCCCTTCACGATTCCCTTAGGAACACTGAAAACTCATCCTGAAAAGCATGTATTCCTTTTCCTTAATGATAGGCTATTAACATTGTTCTCCCTCTTCCCTGATGATTCACACACACACACACACACACACACACACACACACACACACACACAAAAAGGTTCAGAGTTTGAGCTAAAAGATAATGAGGTCATTTGACAAAATATCTTCATTCCTATTCTTCTCTTTGGGTAAGAAATTAACATCTGAAGTTTCGAGCTGCCTGAGGCCAGAAAGAGCCAGAGGCAGAGATGACATAAGTCTGGTGTCCACTTTCACAGGCTCCGTATCACCTGTCTGTGCTAGCACTCCACCTCCGAAAGCAGCTGGTTCCATAAGATGTGCAATGTGGCCACCAGTGCAGGCCCAAAGCCAGTTGGTCCAAAGCCCTGCCACATCACATGCCAGCTGGGACCTTGGGCAAGGTCACTGAACTTCCTACCACGGCCCCTATGCACTGTCTACCTCAGTAAGACTGTGGCTCTTTTTCAGAACATTACTAGGCATTTAATTCTCAAAAGGAGGCAAGACTTCCTGCTCAGTTTGATATCAGGAAAATAAAATTTTAACAAGGACGTGAATTGGTATAACATTGGTAGCACGAGCCTATCATAAAAGTGTTAATAAATAGCAAGCAAATAGACAATTAACCATCATTTGAGTTCTTCTGCCTGCCAGGTTCTGTTTAAATTAGTTATCTTACATTCTATAAAAGAAAGGATAGATTTGGAAAGGGCTCTCTTGCAAAAGAATCATTCAGGAAAATTTAATGAATAAACATAAACATTCCTGGTAAATTAGAGGTGGAAGTTGAAGAATGAGCTTTCCTCAGACTAAGAAACTGATGGGAAGTCTTGCAAAACAGGTGGGATTTAGATGCTTCTCAACCCATTGGCTGTAAGAAGATAGTCCTTTCGCTCAATTAGCAGCAAAGTTAAGGTTCCCTTAGTATCCACAATGCCAGCCACAGGGACCGCAATGAAAAAATGTCCAGTAGATGAAAGGAAATCACAGGTCTTCCATCTTTTTCACAGATGTCTTCTTGAATCTGGTATCACATCCAGAAAGCAAGCAACAAATAAAGGAGTATTTGGGACACTAATTTTGCTAATTTAGCTCTAAAATACAAAGGGAATCTTACATTCCAAGTTTATATATGTATTTTTTCTTTTAAAATAGGATACCACTTCAGTAAGAATCTAAATTTTTCATTTTCTCTATTACATATAGCTGACCAGAGACAAGGATATTTTCCCCCCATTTATTTATTTATTTTTATTTTTATTAAGGTATTATAATGTGTACATACCTTACCAATCCCCACCCCACCCCCACTCTCATACATGCCCTCCCTCCCCAGAGTTTTTCATCCATTGGTTATGCTTATATGCATGCATACAAGTCCTTCGGTTGATCTCTTATCTCCCCCATATCTCCCTAACCCTCCCAAGGATATATTTTTCATTTCAGTTAATATATAGAAGCAAATACCAATCTCTGGATTCAAACCAATGTAGTTACTTTCACCACACTACCCAAGACAGCTCTTTGTTCATATTTTCTAGATGATGTTGAACTAATTACCATGGCAGTTAATGTTCCATTGCATCCTTTTCTAGTTCTCCCTGAAATGCCTGCTGGACTTTGAGCCCCAGCCTTATTCATCTTCGGATCCTTAACATGAATCCAGGGCCTTCGTGTAGAGTAACAGCTGCTATTAATCAAACTTTCTCTCACCGTGAAACTGCTGCCGTTGATAAAATGAATTGTGCTCTTCCCAATTCTATTGATCTTTGTAAGTGTGTGGTGCATTGTAGGGTCTCTTATTTCATGACAACTTAGTGATGGGAAAATAACGATGACTCAAGGTGTAGGTATGGATTTTGTCATCTTTTACACTAAATGATGACATCCCTCTAATTACACTTTCTCGTACATGGTGTCCTCATGAGCTTCCCGAAATGCCGGGGCATGGACTGGGTGTGTCAACCCATGTTCCTGTGGCTACACGTCAGACAGCTGATGTCAGGGTAGAGGAAGAGTCCTCTGCCAACCGTTTGATGGAGTACAACACTGGTACGATTGAGATGCGATGGGAAGGAGCCACAGCAGGTCTGAGGACTACTTTAAGAAAAACCAGCAGTGAGGGTTGTTAACTACAGGCATACCTTCGAGATACTGTGGATACTTTACGGCAATAAGGCAAGACTCAAAGTAAAGTAAGTAGTAATCTTTGTGCTGGTGGAGGATCTTACCTTCAATTTGTAAAAAATGGAACATCTGTGAAGCATAATAAAATGAGGTATGCCTGTAGACTAAGGTTTTGCTAAGGTTTAGACAGATTAGTGTTTTAGTGCAGTGGCTTTCAAGCTTCGACCACACCCATAAGAAAAGCATTTACATCATAACACACACACAATTGATGGCACAGAGCTCCTAAAACCTTTGGAATTTCCTAAATAAGAGCAATAAAGATTCTTGATAAGCCATAAGAAATCCTTTCAACCACACCTGAGTTTAGGTTCATGAGGTGACTTCTGGAAAGGCCCTAAGGATGGGTGCCGGTTAACAGTGAAACCAACCACATAATTAGAGGGTTTGAACTTTCAAGTCCCCTCTCCCCCCCACCACCATCACTACCTCACAGGGAGCAGAGAGAGGCTGGAGATTGAATTCAATCATCAATGGCCAACGATTTAATGAATCATGCCTGTGCAATGAAGTCTCCATAAAAACCCAAAGAGAGATTCCTGGTTGGTGAACATGGGGAGATTGGGGTAGTGGCTTACCCAGAGAGCATGGAAGTTCTAGCACTTTTCCACATACCTTCCTCTACACATCTCTTCCATCTGTCTGTTCCTGAATTATATCTTTTTGTAAGAAACTGATAATCTTGTAAAATGTTCCTTGGAGTTTTCTATGAGCTGCTCGAGCAAGTTAATCTAATCCAGAGAGGGGGCCCTGGGAACCTCTGACCTATAGGTGATTCAGTCAGAAGCACCAGTGACAGCCTGGACTTCTGACTGGTGCCTAAGGAGGTGAGGAAGGTTTGTAGCACTAAGGCTTTAACCTATGGTAGATGGTGTCAGAATTGAGTTAATTGCTTGGTAGTGTTGGGGAAACCCTTGGAGTTGTCCTCAGGGCTCCCAGAGGGGGCATCTTCTCAGCCAACTGGTGCTTTCAAAGGGAACCAACCCATAAACTACCCTGTTGGGAGGCCAATCGGGTGGGAAAGCCCCATCCCCTTTATGTTCATTTTATTCTGAAGGGAAAAGGTGGGAGGCAGGCTGGCAACTGCTGTGGGCCCAACATCACTCCCCACACCTTCCCTTCTACCTCAGCCTCTCTCCCAGGTCAAAGGGACACCAACCCACACAGCCTGTCTAGCAGTACCCTTCCTATGACTTCCTGTGTCTTCCCAACAAGCATATAATCTAATTGTTTTGTTTCCTCTATATTTTGAAGAAAGATGTTTTAAAATTTAAAAAAAACAGGATAAGTGCCTAGCTTGATGGAATTTTGTAAATATTTTTTTTATTTCTCTGAAGAATATATCTTTTTAAAAGTATTAATCAACGTTTTAAAAATACCCATATTATTTAATAGCTAATTTTCACTTGATTATTAAAATGTCTTTTTCTTCCCCAAAGGAGAGATAGCAACATTTGAACTGAATCAAATTAGCTTTCCTTGAAGTTAAATGATTTCATTTTGTGATTGTCGGGATGCTTGGAAAGCAATTTCAGCTCCAACTCTTTTGAAGTGGTGATGTCTCATAATTTAAGATGAAAGTATTATTTATTATCACACTACCTAGAAGGAGAAGCTATTAGACTTCTCTTTGAGAAAAGGTCAGACAGATAAGGGGCTGAACCATTTAAGGGAAAAAAGAGTGACCTTTCTAAGAAGTGTTTAAGGTTAAGCATTTTCTGGCATTGTAAATTATGAAAACCCAAGAACCACTGAGAGGTTATAGAACAGTGGGGTGCAGGTGAGGAGAGTGGGAAAGACAGGAAAGGCAACCTCTCCATTGGGCAGTCCTTTCTGGCCTCAGTCCGATGATCTTAGAGACACAGTCCAGAGTGGAAACCAGAGTGGAAACCACGGGCTGACTCTGCTTCCCCTTCTCCACAGCTGGACCTCCTGGGGGGGAAAGGGGAAAACCTTCTCTTTTTTATTTGTTTATTTTTGAGTTTTAGTGGTTCTGATGTGGAGAATAGGAAGAACTTTTGAAAAACAAGAACCATCTATCTTGAGAGCAGATTCCCAGCTGGCGGGTCTGCCCTATTTGTTCCCTCTCTCTGACCCTTTCCAGCACATCTCACCTTGTCCTGCTGGCATGACAAGGCATGGCCCGAAGATTCCTTTAGCTACTAGGGCAGCCTCTTTAAAAATGACAAGTATCTATTTGGAGGGTTAAAGGGCTGCCTTTCACTCATCATCCACACATCACTGTGAACCAGCTCATTCAGATGTTCTCCTATCTCTAGTCCAGGTCAGCCGCATTGGGTGGGGCTTTCAGAAGGGAGGGGGGGAGAGAGGAAGGTTTTAGGACATTTTATAGACTGAAGCCCTTTGGAGAAGAGGCAGGCCTAAGGAGACGGGCTGGAATGGACTTATGCTTTGTGGACACGGGGAATGATCAGAGAGAGATAGGGGAATGGGTCCCACATGCACGCATTGCCTATTTCATGATTTCTCCAGGGTCTGATTTACCTATAACCTTAAATTTCCCACATAGCATTGCTAGTAATTAGTTCAATGTTTTACTACTCTTAAGCTGTTTTTTA